TCTTAGGGAAGTGAGCTATGGGGGATATTATACTCCACCCAGGGAAGGGGCAGGTGAGGAGCCCTGAGGCCAGCATGTCTGAGGGGTAATCGGCATGGAGTGAGACAGGGACAGACAGTCAAGAAAGGAGAGCAAAGAAACAGAGTCCGAGAAATAGAGATATAAGAATGGGGCTCTTTAATATTATGGTAAGTTGTTTCGATTATGCTGAGTGAAATAGATATACAGAAGGCTTTAAGTACAGGATGACATCCCCTGTTGTGGGTTAAGATAGGATCATTCTGACTGTTCCACCATAGGCAGACTGAAAGGGTGCATGTACAAAAGAGGGAGACCTTACGGTTACCACAAAGGCACAAGTGAGCGATGGTGACGGCTGGGGCGTCTGTGGTGACGCGAAGGTGCTGAGAAGAATTCGGATTCTGGAATGACACTCAAGTTAGAGCAGTAGCATTTGTTAAGGAAATGGGTGTGGACTGTCAGAAAAGAGTGAAAGGATAATCCCAAAATTATTTCACAATTATTTCCAAATATACGGGGAATTGCCAGAAGTTAAATGCTACACAGCCCACGTAGGAGTGAGTTTTAAAATACTAGGGCCTCTTTCCCTTGGGCTCAAGGAAGGCAGGACACAGCTGGCTGCACAGTAGGATGTGAACCCTACGTTCCCAGCAACGGGAATGGGGGTGACAAGTCTAGCTCTTATCCAAGGAATGAATCACCTGCATGCACGCATGCACAGACACACACTCACACACACACACAAACGCACACACTCCCTCCAAGAAGTGGGTTGCACCACGGAGCTGTCTATTTTCTCTCAAGTTTCTTGGTTTTACCACAGTTCACTTTTGTGACTTGGGGAAGTCAAGAGAGTCACAGGGAGAAATTAAACTGGCACATGGTGGGGTCAGAGTAAACTTAACTGGGCAAGATGCCATGCAGGTGAGAGAGTGACTGGTGACCTGGATTGGGGCACAAAAGGCCTAGAGTTACTGAGTGAAGGGCATGGTCTCCCTCTGCGGAGCAACCCCAAGCAGACTCGGAGAGCATTTAAACAATTGCCTTGCCTGGACCCCAGGCCCGATAATTCCCATTTAATTCGTCTGGGATTGGACCCAGCAGGGAATGGTTTAAAGGTGTCATGGGTGTGACTCATAGGGCACAGAAATCCCTGTTGCGTAGCTCATTTCCAAGCATACCTTACTCTGGGCCACTTCACTCACACACCTCAGGAAAGGGCTTCAACAGGGAGCGCAGGATTTACGTGACCAGAAAACTCACAACATCTACTGACCGGCGAAGGGTGGAACCCAGACAGGTTCCTGTACTAACAGTGGAGGGAAATCAAAGGTTATGTGAAACCGTTAACATAAAATACATTTCTCTAAGTCCCGAATGTACAATTTCTAGATAATAAAAAAAAATTGCATAAGAGAAACTGGTTGATTTCAAAATAATGATTTTGGGAGAAGAAATGATACATAGTAGCATCAGCCATTTGTCCTCATGATTTAACCCGAAAGGTATTTTTCGCAAGAGGAAGTATATAAATCATATGTAATATAAAATGATGTTTATTTACAGTATCATTAAATACAAGTGGCCACTTGTCATGTTGGTAGACGTTTGGCTTTATTGTGGAGACTGTAAAGAATCAAAAGTTGGGCTCGTCCGGGATTTGAACCCGGAACCTCTCGCACCCTAAGCGAGAATCATACCCCTAGACCAACGAGCCACTGAGAACCTTACTCCTTCCTCACTGCCTCAAAAGGAAAGTTTTAGCCACGTCCACACTTGGTTGCAAAGTTCTCTTTCAATAACTATGGGCACGTGTGACATCTGCTGGATACAATAAGTCACTGCAGTTTCGCTCGCCTACATTGTGACTAGGCCCAGGAAATCATAGCTTTTCTCTAAAAAGAGAGAGAGAGAGAGAGAAAGAAAAAGAAAAAGAAAATCAGGCATCACCGAAAATCATTCCTCTGCAAGTCTCGGTTCCGACTGGAACCGAGGGGAACCCGGAGGACGTCCCCAGCTTCCCAGGAGCCCATGCTTTGGCCGCGGCAGGCGGAGGGAGCTGAGGCCGCTGCGCAGACCCGCGAGTGCCCAGCGCGGAGCAGCAGCTGCGCGGCCCCTAACCGGGGTGTCCTCCGAGATGTGCGACCTGCGCCGCTGTCCCGTACAGCCCCTTTCACCAACTTCAAGGTCGTTAAACCGGAAAGAAAAAATACGAACGACCCGTCCGAACAACTGAACCAGAGAATGGAGAAGAGTAGATAGTATGTCGCAGGAAACTCCCTGCAGGGTAGCGTGGCCGAGCGGTCTAAGGCGCTGGATTAAGGCTCCAGTCTCTTCGGGGGCGTGGGTTCGAATCCCACCGCTGCCATCAATCTTTTAAATCACAATTTCTTCGCCTTTCTTACCCAGTAAAAGAGCACATTTTAAGCCGTTGTCCTACTTTATCGGAAAGAAAAAAAAAAGAAAAAAGAATAAAGCAGTCTTGCCCAAAAGCAAAGCTCACAGGCTGATCTGGAAAAGGAAACTGGGCACTTAGAATGGGTCTCCTTCAGAACACGCGTGGTGTGGGAGGCGCGGGACAGGACGGGGCTACACGTTCCTAGAGGCTTCCTCTCCTGTGCCTAGGTTTCCTAATTTGTAAAGTGAGGCTACTAAGAGTATATATAACATGAAAATCAGTAAATACTCGTAAGATGCTTAGAATAGAGATTGGAGACCTGAGAAAGAACGATTTAGCCTTTTCCTTTTTTTTTTTTTTTTTTTTTTTTTTTTTTTTTTTTAGTATAAGCCCACAGTTATGGCCTCTATCCTTAGGGAGATTCCAGAAATAAATCCCACTTAATTGTGGCCGCTAAAGACCAGCTGGTGTGTAATATTCATTCATTCATTCTTAATCTGTACGTTGCTAGGCGCCGAGTGTTACGGCAGCCAGCAAGACAAAATTCGTGCCCTTCTGGAGCTTAATCGTAGGAGAGAAAACGGAATAAAAAGGAGAACAACTGTATGTAATACTGCCCCGTAGCGCTAAGTGCTGTGAAGAAGAGAAACGATGCAGAGCATAGCGACAACCGGCAGCTGTTTTCAGAGGAGTTCAAGGGAGACGACCATGAGGCCCGTGTCTACGCTAAGTGAATTCGACCTGGCGCACCGGGAGCAGTAAGTACCGGCCCCGCAGTGGGAGTGCCGGGGAGGGCTGGTTACCAAAACAAGTGCTGCTGAGCGGAGGAGAACCGGACTCGTGTCACGTTAAACCGGAGCAGTTGTCTTAGGTAAGTGGGAAAGATGAACCTTCAAACTGGACGGAAGAGGGAGAGCACGCCCCAGTGGACAGAGGTCGGTATATTGCCAGGAAAGGGAAGTAGTTCACTCTCGTGAGGTTGCAGTTACTAAGGGTCCAGAAAACATTTCTTCTAATTTAACATTTAAATTTTTGCCTTTGGTGATTTATATTGTCATCACTCATTTGCTCCATTGGATTGTGGCGTAAAAGACACAGTGGGGGGGGGACAATAAAAAAGGGGAGAGAGGTCGGGAGGAAAGGGTTATGGGAGAAAAGTAAAGACGGAAGGAAAGGGAGGCTGTTATTACGGGATGACACGTAAACTTATTTAAAAGGGTGACTCGACACACACACACACCAGCAGAGGGCGGTGGTTGCATGCATTAGCTTCCAGTCCCTTCTCAGGGAAGAAAATGGTTTCTTATATTTACCTATGTTAATTATTTCATTGTCCATGCAGTTTCCATGCTCTATCTCGTCAGGGTTGAATTCCTGGAGCTGGGAAGGAAAGACTGTTGTTTTCATTTCACTGCAGATGCGCCGAGAGCCCACTTGTCGGAGTGGCCACTGAATCAGGCAGGATTTCTCTTACTGACAGAACAGAATAACCAACTTCGGGTTGTTCTTAGTTCGTCGTTTCACAACTCTTTGGAACTTTCCTTGCCATTTTCCAAAAACGGTACAACTAAAGCAGGGCTCGTCCGGGATTTGAACCCGGGACCTCTCGCACCCTAAGCGAGAATCATACCCCTAGACCAACGAGCCACAGTACATACTATCTTTAACACAGCCTGAAGGCTGATCTACGCCATCCGCGGTTTTTTGTTGGATTTTTTTTTTTTTTTCCAATAATGTAGTTTTCTAGCGGCCCCTGCTGGCGGGAATGCGGACTTGTTTGCACAATTCACGGGGACAAACCCCACGACCCGAGCAGATTACCCCTGACTATGACCGATCCCGACTCCATCGAAAGGCTCCAGCTGCAAAGTGTATTAAGGGCCTCCTAAACAACCTAGGGATTGCATGGGTCTCTGAGAATGCGAAAGCGTCTGTGTGCAGCCGAGAAAACCAAAAGGCTTACAGGCCCCAGCGAGATTTGAACTCGCGACCCCTGGTTTACAAGACCAGTGCTCTAACCCCTGAGCTATGGAGCCGCCACATAAAATTAGGCACTCCAGCTTTCACCTTATAGATATGTATTATAGAATAGCCACTGACCTATTAAGCAGGATTTTAGTTTGCCTAGAATTGCAAAATATCCTGCTACAAAACTAAAACTTTCTCGTGCCTGTGAACCCCTCCAAAAGATCATTGTGAGCAGGGCCACCACTGGGCTAGCCGGCTTCCTGTCCTTGTCTTGGTTGCTGAGATGATGCGTTTTCCTGAGATTTTGGTGCACCGTAAGGGCAGGAATGAAAGAATTTCATATATTCTGGCGCAGAACAGACCTCTGAGCCATAAGGGCGCGCTGCCAAAGCATGGTGCCTCCGTTTCCACGGTGCTAACATCCAGAGGAGGAGGTGAGAGATCCACTTTGGTTTTGTTCTGAGTCCACAGCATCAAATCAAATCCTTAAATTTGCTTTCTTTGTTGTTTTTTGTTGTTGTGAATGTCTTTCTCAAAATCCAGGGTAAAAGAATAAATGAAAAAAAGGCACATTGGAGGGAAAGATTTTAAGGCATACACACATTTACACATCTTTGCTATAAAAATAATAATTTTTATTTTAAATTTGTGTTTTCAGTTTTTTTGAAAACTCGTTTACATAATCTGGTAAACAAGAACTAAAAATATATTTTTCTGTGAAAGAATTGGTACCTATTTACTACAAATAGAAGGATTAGGAAAAAGCACTCATCTGTACAAGCTCCAAGAGTGTACCAAGTCGGTTTAGTGAGAATCGGGTATCCTGTCATGGGCCTGCTTACACACTATTTTGTAATGTTTGCATTTGTTTAATCTCACAATGTTTGTCAGCAATCTGTAAGCTTAAAATGCATTGCCTCTTTTGACTTTCATGTTACGTAAATATACTGCTTCTGGCGCTCTCCCCATCACTCACCCCAAAATGAAGAACCAGTTCTGCCTTTGCCTATCTAACTGCACAGCATAACACGGGGGGTTTTTTTTTGTTTGTTTGTTTTTGTTTTTGTCCTAAAGGGCAATAAACATGAGTATGTCAAACCCATGTTTATTCTTTAGACTTTTTATAATAAAATATTAATTTTAGTTTTATGAGTTATATTAAACAATGAATGCTTCACAGGAAAAAATCACAAAAATAAAGTGTTGGATTTTTAATACTGAGTTTTTATAAAAAAGCATCAAATTTTTCAACATTGATTGACTTTTGGTGTACAGAGTCTAAAAAAGGACCACAGAAATAAATTCCTATAGGAATTACTATAATAGCACCCTACAAAACAAACAATCTCTACTTCAATGATCACACCCAAGGCAGGCTTCACACATGAAGGACATCTGCATGTCTCGCTAACAGCGTATGTGCTTAGCTTTGCTTTCCTGTGTGGCAGGCCATTTTTGTCACCTCTCTTGCTATTTTGCCAGAAGCTTCCTACTATGTTGTACAAGGTGCACTTAGCAGGGGAAAAATGGTATCTGTAAAATAAAATATTGCATGCATAATGAGTGCTTAGAATGGACATCAACATTTTCACATGTATACTTGCTTACAAAACCTAAGAAATAACATCAGAAATAGAAACCTACACGAGTTGCAATGTAAACACAAAAGTTCTCCCGGCCCAGGACTGGCCATGGTTCACTGTGGCTGACGTGTCTGAGCCTGGGACACCTCAAAAGCCCTTTTTGCTGGCATACCAGACTGGAGAGCATTGTCAAAGCTGGGGCTCTTCCAGGTGTCCTGGTCCATGTGGAATATTTTTCCCTCCTAGTTGGCATCCTAAAAGGACATTATAAGAGCATTCAAAATTACTTATTTTTTCTGTTTTTCTACATATCTCCTATTTCCTCTCAACTTTTCATTTTGAAAAGCTTTAATCCTTGAAGTCGGAAGCACTGATTGAATACAGGGAGTCAGGTCCACCGGTTAGTAGAGGAGCTTCAGCCAAGGGCACGAGAGTGATCCTTTTTTAAGACAAGGAACTCTGTCAGTTTGAGAACTGAACCTGCAGCACTGCAGGGTCAAATGGAACTCTGCCGCAATGACCAGGTTTCTTCTTGTTGACTGGTTCCTTTTATTGTCCAGTCTGGCATTAAAGAGGATCAAAGAAGGTCATTTCCATCTTAAGAGATGCTCTTAAGAGGTAAAAGTTGAGGTTTGGGGGTTTAGCTTAGTGGTATAAACTTCTACCTCATAAGTGTGAGGTTATGAGTTTGATCCCTGGCACTGGAAGGAAAGAACAGAGGGGTATTTATATAATATTTTAACCAAGTCAGTTTTATAGCATATAAATATACATGTAAATATGTAATGTAGCAGAGAGACATAAACGTGACTGAATAATCCCATCTGAAGATTTCATCAAAACCTCAACAAGAGGTTTACTGGAACCCTGAGCCAAGAAAACAAGAGGTTTACAGGGACCCTGGCCTGTTGGCTGGCTGTTACATACCAGACCTCCCATTCATCTCCACAGCCTATTCAAATAATAAAAACCCTCCGATCCTTTTCTCTTTCAAACGGTTGCCTCCTTCACTTACACACTGAAGTGACAGCACATGATTTCTAGAAATCTTTCCAACTTCAGAGTAACACTCACTTTTCCACCTCTGACCCTGGTGGACTTGGTGTCGGATTCAGTAAGCCCACGTGGGCCACCTCCCCGACTCCCGAATTTCCTCCAAAAGTTTGAAAACACAGAGAAATATCTTAGAAGTCATTTGCTCAGTGAGAGGCTGGTGACAGACAATTTGACTCTCTCTGTCCAAGCGACCAGGCAGGCCAGGCCACTGACAGCAGCTGGGCTCCAGCCAGACGGTGCCCGCGGGCCTAGGGTGCTGGCGGGCTGCGAGTGCGAGTCTCCCTCCTGCTCCTGCGGACACAGCTGCATCCAGGCCGAGGGATGAGCGCCCAGCTGTGCCCTGCCCCCCACTCCACCCCACCCCTCCCTACCCCACCCCTCCCGGCCGCCCGCGAGTGGGAATGCAGGGGAGGACGGCAGGGGGCGACGAAAAGCCCAGAGGAGGCTCCGACGCGGTGGGGGAGGGCGGACTGGCGGGCGCGGACGCAGGGCAGCGGGATGCCGACCTGTGACCCCCACCGCTTTGGTGCCTCGGTCCTGCAGCAATCCCGTGCTTCTCAGCCCTCCTTCTAAGCTGCTTTCTAGAACTCCTCTCCTCACCCCAGCAGCGAGGCCCACGGACTAGAAAGTGAAAACCTACTTTGTCCCTTTGCGTCCACTCTTGACCCTCGCCCCCGACCAGCAGGGCTTGGAGAGACTTGGAAAGGCCTTGGCCAAGGAGGGCACGAGGCGTGACAGGAGTGTGGGTGTTGGAGCGATGGTGGTCGAGGATCGTGGGAAAGGGCCAAGCACACAGACATGCACCAGCCAGGACTTGTGCCAGTGGGTTCCGCCGGCAGGAGACTGATTCTCATTCTGGAAGCGGGCATCGCATCCGAAGCTGCTCCAAACGCACCTTCTCTTCCTTTGGACGGAAGGGACCGCCGGGTCCGGGCCCGGGGTGTTCTCGCTCCCTCGGTATCGGTGGCGGGAAAGGCGTCCAGCGCTACCTCCCCAGGCAGGCCCAGGGAGCGCCAGAGGCCGCTCGGCTCCTCAGCAGGGAGACCGGCGGATAAGCCCAGCTTCGCAGCGCTGAGCCTGCAGAAGACCGCAGGCTCGCCGGAACTGTGCAGGAACCGGACCTGAGCTTCCGTCCCACAGCACGCCGCAAGATCCCCACCCAGACTTAAAAACCAGCGAGGAGTTCTGTTTCTTTCATCTTCCCTCATAATCTGCAATAAGTCTCTGAGAGATTTCCCCCTTTATGTGTGTTACTGCTTACATTAAGGAAAAAGATAGAGATCTTCCAAAAACATTGCAGCTAGTAATTGTTGATTACTTGTCCCAGTGTGGAGAAAAAATCAGAAAGATTCTACACAGGATACTGATTTTTTTTTTTTTTTTTTTTTTTTTTTTGGAAACAGCAAAATACTGCAATGGAAATGCACATGCCGGAGTGAGCTGTGGGTATAGAGGGGTTGAGGCAAGGAGGGGCTTTTAATTACAAGAGGAGGAGGGCGTCAGGTATCTGAAGCAACATTCAGAAAAGTAACACCAGTCATTGGTTCCAGAGGTACCAGTAGGGGTGCGCAGGCGTTTGCTAGGCAGAAATCCTCGCAGAAGTCCTTTTTGTACAAAATTGTGGTGGCCCCTATAGAATCCTGTGTTACTGGCAGTCTTGTGACAGTGACCTCCAGACAATCATGCTTAAGAATATTTCCTTCATAACCTCCAGGTTTTATTTTTGCTAGGGTTGATGCAGGACACTCCATTTTGATTTTGAAACGTCTTCTTGCCCACTTCTCATGAAGTGTAAAGATACGATAATTCAATCCACTCTCTGGACTTTGCTCAGATCTTTAGAGATAAGCAAAGACTGCTGTACTTCCAATGGAAAAAAATTCAGGTTTTGTGTGTAGACAGTAGGGCAAAATGCTGGAAAATTGTAGTTACAAGCTCGTTTCCATCACGTGGTAGTGTGGCCGAGCGGTCTAAGGCGCTGGATTTAGGCTCCAGTCTCTTCGGGGACGTGGGTTCGAATCCCACCACTGCCAGCAGTGTGTTTTAATCTAGTGGCTATTCTGGATTATTCAACGGTGAAATAAAAGACATTCTTACACCTTAAGGATCACATCACTTGAAATTTTCTCTTCTTATCAAAGTCAAGTTTTTTCTCTTATCAGACCCCAAAACTCTTCAAGGCTTATTAACTGACTCCATGTCAGACTGCTGTGAGGCTCAGGGGATGCACTGTGAGTGTTGGTTCAGCCCCTCTGCTGCTCCTCACCTGGAGACTGTTCTGGCTCTGAAACACCAGCTGTGTAAATTGTAGCCCAGTGAGGGAAAGAGGAGTCTTTGTACTTAAGTAACATCTGCTCAGAAGGGCTTTTCCAAGACTGGGAATTTAGTTCAGTGGTGTAAGTACCGGCCTGGCAAGAGCCACGTTGTGAGTTTGATCTCTGGTACAAACAAAAGGAAAAAGAAAGGCTTCTCCATACAGGACAAGATCTAAGGTGGTTCCCAAAGCAGAAGGGAAAATGTAACTCTATACCCACCCTACCTGTAAAAGAAGGGTAGGTTCACTGACTTTTGTCTGTTCTGAAACAGGTAGAAAGAGATTTTACTACTCAAAACATTTAGAAATAGGTAAAGTTTAGGTCCTCGATAGAGGCGTGCTGCCCTGGAACCAGGAACTCTTATGTTTCTCTTGAAAGGGTGGAAACTTATGGAAAACATAACACTGCTGTTGTGGTCCCTCCTTCATAGTTTCCTTACGACCTCATTCTTTTCTCCACAGGCAGTTGTTCCATCTTGTGTGCTTATTTTTCTTTCTTCCTGACACTTAATTCTGTACATTATCCTAAGATATACTAAATATTTGCATTTCTATTCATCTCCCAATGATTCCCAGAAACCTAATCTTTCTAGTTTAAGGTTTGTATAGGCCTAGAGAACGTCCTCTGACAGGGCATCATCTTCCTCAAAAAACAGTAACCCCGAAGCTTCTCCCTCCCTTCCAACCACTGCTTCTCAGTCAGGCCCTTTGCTGGGCTTTCCACACTCTCCAGTCACAACTGGAGCGCTCTCTCGGCCCTCAAGAGCCCCACCTTGGAGTGTTTTCATTCATACTGGTTTATCCCCTTGCTTCTTCTGCCCGAGACCGCTGTCTGTCCCACAGTCCCAGTCAGTTCCATTCCCTTTGTGATGGGAGGATGCTGGCTGGCTTTGTCGCCATTCCCACTTACCTTTCACTGCGCCCTGACTTTTCTCTGTCTGCATCACTTCTGCAAGCACCAAACTAATCCTGCACCTCTGTCCTTTCCTCTGTCCCCTTTCCTTATTCTGCATGACACCCCCTGCCACTCCTCCAGCTGCACCCCTGCCATGTCCCTTCCCCACTCTTCCTGTCACCTCTCCCAAGACTGTTGCCATCCCAGTACATACACGTATCCCTAAGAATATATCAATATTTCTGTCAAATTCAAGCTCAGTATCCTTTTCAATCTCTCTTCACCATCCTGATCACTCCTTTTTGTGGCCCTAACTGTGCCCCCAAGTTGTTTTTTGAATGTTTAGTAGGAATGTCACTATATCAACACACAGCATTATCCATTTAGTTCCTTCAACCAAACTAAGAGCTGCTTTTATTATCCTTTTTTTAAAAATTGATAGATCTTATTTTTAAAGAGTAGCTTCAAGTTTACAATAAAATAGAGTCAAGACTTGTGCCAGTATTGTTCACATGATTGAATGCAGATGTCTTGTGCACTGGGCGAATGATTTGGGGATGACAATATACACTGTTTGTACCATTGTTGCCCCCTATTGATATGTTCTGAAATTTTGGGTTTTTTTTTTTTTTTCTTTTTCTCCTTGAAATAAAAGGGATTTGAAAAAAAGAATTGAATAGGAAGCGCGCGTTTCCACCCACTCCAGAACACACAACCTCTCTCACTTGTCCAATGGTTTCAACCAGTACTGCTGCATCACTAGTGACCAGTTATCACTGGCACACCCTTATTAGCCAAAGTTCACTCTTAGTGCTGTGAATTCTGTGGCTGGACACGTTTGACGTAGTGCGTCCACTGTTACCATATCACACAAAGCCTTCAGTTTCACAGCCTTCAGCTCCTCTGTCCACCTTCCTCCGCTCCTCACTCCTGAAAACTGCTAATTTATTTCACTATCTTTGCAATTTTGCCTTTTCCAGAACGTCATATAGTGGGAATCTCACAGAGTAGCCTGTCACATTGGCTTCTTTCACTTGCTAATATTCATTTAAATTTATCTTCATGTCTGTTAAGGGCTTGGTAATTCATTTCTGTTTTGCAGCTGAATATTCTTCAGTTGTTTGGATGTAGCATAGTTTTTTCATATGTTTGTCTACAAAAGGATTCCTTGGTGTTTTTCAAATTTTAGCAACTCTGAATAAAGCCACTATAAAGCTTGCTGTGCAGGTTTTGCATTTGAACAAATGCCTAGGGATGTGATCACTGAATGGCATGGGAAATAGTCTTGCTTTTGTAAGAAACCGTGAAACTGCTTTCCATAATGAAATAGTATATTTTTAAGCTTCCTTTTGTAAAATAAAAAACTTTCCCAATGTACCATATGCAGGTGATATATTTAGAGAAATGCAAAATAAATGTACAATACAATCAATCAGCCACATATTTTCTTTGCTCGTTTTTAAATGATAAATTTCTAGAAGCAGAAAAAAGAATACTAGGTCAAATACAATGCCTAGCTGTAATAGTAACTTCCTGTAGGAATGTCCTTGTCACTTAATGTTGTCACTAAATACTTCCTAAGTGGTGGGAAAATAATGTTCCCTCACTTTAATTAGTATTTTTTTCTTGTTAATGAAGGAAGATTTTATGGGTACATAGTTGACCTTTGCACGGGCAATTTTCTGTGTGATTTACAGCTTTCTGGAATATTTCTCCTTAAACATGGACTTGGCATATGAATTATTTACTGTAATGAAAAAGTGTCAGCACGAGGATAAAGGACGTTGCTCGAGTCCAAATAATGGAAACCAGTCTGCAAGATTAGAAATTGAAATGTTCAGATCTGGAGCAAGGATTATTAATTTACATCTCGTGAGTAAATTGAATTACACAGACTGCAGCGTCGCGGTCCCACATCAAAAGCACACAGCCAGGCACATCAGCCAAGCCTGTAGCTGACTCAGGTTTGCTGTGAGTTCAGCGGCCAACCTAGAATACAACCTAGGCTACACAGGGAGCTCAAGGCTAGCACGAATTGCATAGCAAGACACTGTCTCAAAATAAATAAATAACACAAAATTTAAATTTGTGGTCAGCGAAAAACAATTATTTCAAGTCTGAAAATAGATTTAAATACAAGTATTTCACAGTGAAAGAAAGCAAGTTTCAAGCACTTGGGAAGGACACACCTTTCACAATGCTCCTTTCCAGCTGGGAATCTGCCTGGCAACCTCAGGATGAGGACTGACGACACCTCCACAGTTCCCTACCCTACCAGTCTAACTACCGGGAGAGGGTGCCGTGGGGAGCTGTTGATGTGGCTTCTTTGTCACCGAGAAGCCTGCTTTTTTGGTCCTGTGCTTGAGGGCTGGGCTCAGATTCGGACTGTCAGGCTTTCCAGAAAGGTAAATCTATAGGAAGCCAACTCCCGGGAGCGCCCTTAAGAAGAATTCTGAGTCCAAGGAGTCAAGGGTGGAAACGAAGCAAACCTTCCTGGATTAGAAGCACCGTGCAGCTTTTGGACTATGCTGCCTCAGAGAAATCCGCAAATTCATTTTCACGCCAAAAGCCCCAGAGAAACTTTGGCGCCAGGCAGATGAAAGCAGGAAATACGCAGGACTCCAGGAGCCTGGTTTCGCAACACAAGGGCAAGGGCTCCACTACTGTGAGTTTTCTCCATGGTGCGTGAGCACCCAGCTTTCCCTTCATTTACTTAAGGGTGTGAAGATCTCCGGACCGATCAGAGAAGCTTCGACTCTAAGTCCTTCTCAAACTTTCAGGAAAATACATAAAAGTCATTCTTTACGACCATAGGTAAAATAAAAGCAAACCCTTAAAAAAAGTAGAGAACAGGCCCTAGCGAGATTTGAACTCATGACCCCTGGTTTATAAGACCAGTGCTCTAACCCCTGAGCTACAGGGCCAAGCCACAGCACTTCTGTTACAGTGCTTATTCTGTTAGTTTATAAAAAAAACTAGACTGCCTTATTATTTAAACATATAATTACAATAGAAAATAATTTGTTTTGAAGTCAAATTCAGCTACAATTTCTTGAAACAGAAGCAGGCTAAAAAAGACTAGGCCTTTCTTTGGTCCTTCTGTGCCCTTTTTCCTAGCCTTGGAAGGGTGGCAGTTTCTCTCTGGGCCTCTGGAGTCTTCTAGGCTCCCAATTTGGGATCTAAAACAAATAGAAAATGATGTTGCATAGGGAAGTTAGAGAGTCCCTTCCCCCTTTGCTCCTCTGGTCTGGCCTGGCCTGGAGACTGGTGCCTAGTCCATGAGTTCAGTGTTCATTCAACAACTCTTTTTCCAGCTTTCTCTGATAAGTCAGAAGGTACACAACTCCGGGGAGGCACTGTGACAGAGGCAGGTGCTGCTTGGGCCTAGGGATGTTAAAGCAACAGCCCAGATACTTGTTTCTTAAGCAGGAGGGACTGCAAAGTGAGGACCAGCCCTGTGTATCACGCCCACCCATAGTCTTTTGGGTAGTTCAGTAATGGATTCTGAAGATGGTGGTCCTGGAAGTGACCACCTTTCCTCTGATGGCACCGCCTGTGCTCCCTTGATAATCAAATAAAGCTGAAAAGAAGTTGCAAGCACACACTTACACAGCTCGAGGTGGCATATCTGAGTGGACTAACAATTAGTCCCTGGGGTTCCAGGTCTTCTCCTGCTAGTTCCACGAAGATGACAATCCTTATTTTTCCTGGGTTTTCTGATTCCAGGCCACCAGAGAGGCTGGCCCTAACTGAAGTACTGTACTAAGACCCTTCGGATTGATATCTTGCTTAGCCTAGTACTTGAAATGAAAAAAAAAAATGTTCTTTCTTAAATCTTTGGAACACTGTGGCTTTCCAAACAAAACTGTTAATGACAGAGGAGTCCACAGGAAATCACTGTGCTTAGGAAAACAATCAGAATCCTTCACTGGGCTACAAGTTACCATATAAATGAACACTGATTAAGAGTAAAAACATTCTAGGGCTGGCTGCTTCGTCTAGTGGTATCAGCGTGGCTTTGAATGTGAGAGGTCCTGAATTCAATGCTTATGTTTTTAGTCCTGTCTGCATCAGTGGGTCGGGTGCTGGGTCATTCTTTCCTTGCCGCTTGGAGTGAGGCAGTGACGGGGAACCCTTCTCATTAGTTCCTGCTGAAAAGACAGGTAGCTAGAATCATGAAGCTCACTTGTGGAGGTGCCGATCCTGGATACAAAGCTGCATCACTGGGTGGCCCCAGAACTTAAAAGACATAGCCTATTCTGTTCAGAGGGAGTTTAACTGAATTATTTCCTAGAGGTATTTTTCTAAACACAATGAAACAAATTGATTGTCATTTTTGTCTGGCAAAAATCCATTAGACCTTTGAGTTCCCTTCCTTCCTTCCTTCCTTCCTTCCTTCCTTCCTTCCTTCCTTCCTTCCTTCCTTCCTTTTTGTTAAGTTCTTATCTTATTTTAGTATCAGAGTATTGCTAGCGTCCAGGAATGAGTTTGGCAGTGAATCTTCTCTTTCAGCTTCGTGGAAGAGTTTGAAAAGTACTGACATTAGATCTTCCCTAAAGTTCTGTAGAATTCTGCAGTGAATTCATCAGGTTCCTGGTTTTGCTTAGCAGGGTTTTTATTACCGTTTCTATCTTATTGTCTATTTTTTTGTCTATAGAATAGAGTTCTTTAAGGAAGGACTACCGAACTTGTCTGTTCCAGGAAATACTCAGAAATTCAGCCAGCAGAGCTATGGCTGTACAACCTTAGCTAGAGTCATTACATTGTGTTTTTCTCACTCTTGAGAAATAACTCTGACATTTTTCTACCATTGTAGGCTTCCAATATTTTGCTGAAAGTATTGTCAAGAAATCGATAGTGAGCATTGCTATTTGACACTGTTTCATATCTCTTTCCTTGCAAAGCATCAGAGATTTAATGTTCCAGATTACCAGGTACTTTTCTGAGTGACATAAAAACAAACTCAAATTTGACCATATCTGTGTCTTCAAGGGATTTGCAATCTAATGATCAAACAGGAAAATCAGTACAGCTAATATTTTTACAAGAGCAAGTATGAGGTAAGAATCAAAACCGTGGAACTACTATAGTGATAATAAACAAGTTACGATAAGAATTAGCCCTTACATAATTGTGGTAGCTAGAAAGGATGTCTATGTAAGATTCTTGCTTCTATAAGTGGTGTTAATCCCAAGTCTCTAGCTCAGCAGGGTGATCATTTGGAAAGGAAATCTGGACATGAACTGAAGTCACAAACAGAAATGGAAAAGGCAAATTGGAATCTCTACCATTCTTTCAGCATCTCCAGCTTTGTGAAAGTGAATGAACTGCAAGAAAAGCTGTCACCTCTTATCATGGAACTACCTGTGCACCTGTCCCAAGAGCTGGAGGAGAGAAAAGAGTTTTGGGTCCTGTTCCAGCCCCTGCCAACCAGTGAGATCATCATGCTGTTAAATTCCCTCTAAACCACCCATGCTTTCCAAATATCACTGCAGATTTCTCCATATAGCTCCATATAGAAAATCTAAATCAATACAGAAAGGAAAATTCTACACAATATAAGAATGAATTGGTCTGGTGCTTTGTTTTCTGATTTATGTAACCAGTAATGATCCACTGCATTTGCTGAGACAAAGAGCTGGGAAAGTGACCACGGTTGGTGATGGGAAGCAGAGGAATGATGAGTTCGATCGTGCACATGTTGAGCTGGAGGCATCCCTGTGGGGGTGTTACGTAAACAGTCTCTTCTATACATTTGGAACTCAGATATTAGGCCTGAAGATATAAACATGGCAGTCATCAGTATTTAGTTATTAAAACTGTGCTATTAGGCAGGCATGCTGCCTATAATTCCAGTACTTGCAAGGCCACATCAGGAAGATAAAGAGTTTGAGGCCAATCTGAGCTTCATAGCTAGATCCTGTCTCAAAAAACCAGAAACAAAACAGAACAAAAAATCAGTAACTGTGGTTTGGATGAAATGTCCTAGAAAGTATAAGGACAGAATAAAGAAGAAGCCTCTAGTGTTATACCTCAAGATGTTCTATTATTTAATAACTTTATTGAGGGAGCTATACTTGCAAGAGAAAACAAAGACAAAACAAAAAGAAAGCAACTGAAAATGAAGGAAAATCAAACATGTGTGGTTCCAGGGGGAATAAAAAGACAAGAATATTCTAAGAATGTTCTGTTTCAAATAAGACTATTTGTCTTCTTGTTTATTACAGTGGCATTTGTCTTAAAATTCTTGATTTGCATAAACAATTAGAAGGTTTAACTGGGACTCATAATCAAAAGAGAGGGTACACACAGGTATCTCTATCTACATACTGGATTAAAGTTACAGATGCCCTTCCAAACAAAAATGGATGTGTGTTCAAACATACAATTTAGGTACCAATGGACTTACAAATTTTCTGAAACATATCCTTAGCTTCTCTAAGTGACCAAAAATACTTATAGGTTAGAAGGTCTTATGAAATGATGATCATGATATATAAAATATTACTGGTTCTTCTCAGCTATGATGTAGGATCAATAAATTTTGCCTTAAACAGAAGGGGGATAGGCCTGATACCTTCGAAGTTCATTAATGGTTCCAGAATTCAGTTTTTTGGTGATGTCCATGGCGATGATGATGGGAAAAGTGACCCAGAAGCTATCTGAACCTCAGACTTGTTGCTGAGTTCCTCCACCTTCACTCTGCCATTTTCTTAAGGAAGTTTTCAGCAAGTGAGAGGCTACGTAAAAAGCCCGCTACCAACTTCCTGAACACATCTTTCAAAGCTTCCTTGACTTGCTTGTTGCGTAAGGCATAGATGAACGGGTTCAGCAGTGGTGTTACAAATGTTGTTATCATTGTCACTGCCCAGTTAGTGTCCACAGAGCCACTCTGTGATGGTCGCACGTAGAGAAAAATGGCGCTTCCATAGAAGAGGGTCACCACCATCAAGTGGGATGTGCAGGTGGAGAAGGCTTTCTGGCGGCCTGAAGCAGAGGGAATGCGTAGGACAGCCAGGATTATGTGGCCATAGGATGCAGCAGTAATTGTCAGTGATGATATGATAACAAGGGAGGCCAGGATGAAGTCAGTTTCCTCCAGCTTCTTGGTGTTGGTGCATGCCAGCTGGAGCAGTGGGCCGCTGTCACAGAAGAAGTGCTGCACCACAGCACCTTGTTTACAGAATGGGAGCAAGGCCACTGCCACTGTAGGACCAAGCACAGGGAAGAGTCCCCCCACCCAGCAGGCCGCGGCCATGCGAGAGCACGTAGCTCCACTCATGAGCAAGGGATAGCGCAGAGGATGACAGATGGCCAGGTAGCGATCCACAGACATGACAGCCAACAGGAGAAACTCTGAAGCCCCAAGGAAGAAATAAAAATAAAATTGAGTAATACATGCCACAAAGGAAATGGTGTGTTTCCTTGAGAGGAAATTGCTCAGCATCTTAGGAATGATGACTGAAGTGATCAGAATCTCCAGACAGGACAGGTTACCCAGAAAAAAGTACATGGGGGTTTGTAGGCGAGCATCAGCTCCTACCACTCCCACGATCAACACATTGCCTGTTAGAGTCAGCAGATAGACAAACAGGAACACAGAAAACAGTTCCATTCTTGTACTATTGAGATCTGGGAAGCCTTCCAGGATAAACTCTGTCATCCCACCACTCTGGTTCCCACCAAGAGCCATTGCCTTTTTTACCTCTGCAACAGTATGAACAGGATTCTGGTGAAAGAAGTCTTTTTTTTTTTTTAACAGTTCTGAAACATTTTTCATTCATGTGGTCCACATATGCTGACTACCACCAATCTACCTGACTACCACAGATCCTGTTAATATACAAAGCACCTGAAATCATCACCCGATTGACTGTAGAGCTAGAGAAGATTCTCTGTAAAGGGTAGTTAAAGCTTAAGGAAGAAATTTCCAGGAGTCTCTATCTTCAGATCCCTTATTCTCAGATCGTAAACGATCCTACCTTGTTATTATAGTAGCAACATCAATGAACACAGGATTTGGTAAAGAAAAACACCAGAAATATCACTTTTTTGTGAAGAATATGACTTCCATCTAACCCAGAACTTGAGCCAGATTGCTTATCTGTGAATTCCTGCACCTCCACTTACTGGCTGAGTAACTCTCTGTGCTCCCCGATTATAGAATTCTGCGAGGAGGAAATTAAATAATAATGAAAACTATTTAAAGGATTTAAAACAGTTTCTAACATTAAACTGACAAATGTTGTTGTAGAAAAAGCCCTGGCCTACAAGTTAGTACACTGGAATCTAGGCTTGGTCTGCTACTACCATTGGAAAACTAGGCTGTCTTTGAACTTCAACTGTGCAGCAATACTATGAGTCATAGGAATCTAGCCACTCATAAAGTTTTCTATGAAGTTATCCTTTTCATAGAGAACAACCCAAAGGTCTAGAATTCAGATCTCCACAAAACGCTTGCATTTGTACATCAAGTTGTGCCATGCAAAAAAGGGAGAAAAGAATACATTATACTGAGTCATTCAGTCCACTACTCTAATCTATCATTAGTACAGTTATCCACAGGCACTAATTCAGTATCATCTTCAAGATAAGTATTATGGGGAATACTAAGATGACTTCCTCAAGCTTTTTCCATCCATGATACTACCCCTATTGGAACTCCAGCTCAACACCCTTTTGCAAACCTGGGCTTTACTAAATTATTTGTCAGAAAAGATTTGTGCATTCCTGGCTGCAAGTATTAATGACATCAGAAATGAACTTTGATTCAAGTTCTTGCAGTTCTGAAGACTGCAAGTGATAAAAGCAAATGAATTATATTCTGAAACACCATTTATAAAGCCTCAGTTATCAGGAGAATGCTGGTTCCTTGTAAGCCTACAGAGTATAAGAATTAATTTTAAGATCCTCAGTCCTCTGTCAGTGCTGTTATTCTCTAGCATACCCCGAGAGTTTTTGTTCTCAGCAAACATTAGTCTCAACTTAACATTTACCACAGTTCTATGGGTTTTTTCCTTAGAGATTCATTTATGATCTCCTCTATAAGTTCTATAGAAATTAACTTGTCATTCGACTTTTACCTTTCATTATTATGAACCAAATTGTACTCTTGGTGGTAAAGATATGAAGGAGATACTGTTTCTATGGTTATGTAGTTTATTGCCTAATAAGATGGGAATCACAATGAGACTTAGAGAGAAAGCTTATGCCTAAGATAAATGCTAGAATATACGTGTGGATTTTACAAGAGAAAAGGATGGTCTTAAAAACAAATGAACAGCATGAAAACAGTTCCTCTGAGCTAACACACAAAGGGTGGACTATAAAGAGATAGCACTGCTCACCTCAAAGGGAACAGTTCCTGGTCCTTTGTTGGTCCTTGTGAAGACACTGCATGGCCCCAAACCCTAAACTGTATCTTAAATGACAGGAAAGTTAAGTTGACTTTCAATTGAAATGTGGAAGGAATTCCTCTGACCTGATTGCACTGATTGTCTCCTTTTAGATGGGGGCAACCCTGAATTCTTTTTCCCTGTTTAGGATTCCAACTCGCAGATCTCTTCTCACACTCTGTCCTATGAAGCTGACCATGGCCCAGCATATTTGGAGTTCCAGAAAATGGGTATAATGCTTGGAGAAGCAGGGAGGAGTTGGGCAATCTGCTTCTCTTACTGGGTGGTTCTCTCTGGTATGTTTCCTCAGATTCTGATCTTCTGCCTAGTGAAAAAGAGACTTTCTCATCCTAACGAACCTGTACCATAGTCAGGCTTAGTGGCACATACATGTAATCTCAGTACAGCAACAACAGTAACGAAAGAGGAGCTTTGTCACCTGCTCCATCTTGTGCCCATGAACTAATCAACCGTCAGGATCCATTCTCCCTTCCGTGTCTCCTGAAATGTAATCACTGCCTTGAGCTCCAGCAGCTGCAATTCAGGGGCTAGACAGCTAGCTCACAATGCTCTGAGATATGCACTATAAGAACATCACAGGCTGGAGAGGTAGGGGTGAACACAGAGGGCTAAGCTATGGATCTTCTGACTGTCAAAGGACTTGCCACACTTAACACAGTTCTTTTCATCTCCCGTGGTTGAAAAAATGTTCCATTTGGGGCCATGCCTTCACTTCTTTGCTAATGAATTCCACGTACAGAGTTTCAGTTTTCTTCTTTTAAACCTCACCCTTCCTGGCATTCCTTGAAAGCAAGAAAGCAGGCTGAAGCCATTGGTTTCTAATCAATATTTCTATTGAAAGGTATGATCTGTTAGACGTAATTGGCTTTCAGTAGAGATGCATCCAATGAACACTGATCCAGCATCAGGAACCTCTCTTGCAGCAGCACTATCTGAAGAAAGACTACCCAGATGGTGAGATCGGTGTAATGACAAAGAGAAAGAAAAAAAATAATGCCAAAGAGATTCACAGTCCTCCAAAAGCTTCCCAGACTCCTGTCTGATAAATCATGAAAAAAAGAATGGCCCTTGATGTAACAGAGGGTAGCCAGGAATATTTCAGCATTTGCCTGTCAACCACCTCAAGACAAGAGCGTGAACTCTTCGAAAAGAGCATGAACGATGGGAAGGGAGGCCAGCACGGTGTGGCCAGTCGTGGGAAGTTATGACTACCGTCACCTTCCTTCTGCCTGACACCCAGAGGAAATGCTTGTATCCCAAGTAGCACAGATCTTCTCTCCTCTCTGAGGACTTAAAATTATGCTGGGACTCCCTTCCTTGGCTTCCAGGTTAGTAAATGATGGGAGCCCCAAGGGTATAATAAGATAGGGGAAGGCTCCCTATCTTTTTCTATTGTTTCCCCTGCTTACACTTTATTCATTTCTGATACTATATAAGGTTCCACATACCCAGAACATTATTTAGAATTCTGGACTATCTCACTTTTCCATCTGTGTCCTCTGCCTACAGACTACCTTCTATTCATAGTCAACCTTCTATTCATCGTTCTCCTGATAAGGTTCTCCTACTCACCCCCTTTCAATCCCACCACTGTAACCTGATCATGACAAATTCTGCTGACCTCAAACAATATTTGATTTACCACCTCATAACTTTGCTTTCTGGTCTATTTCCATTGCTAGTCTCCGACTCCCTAAGGCAAGAATATTTTCCTCTCTGCATATCTAGTACATGGCACAGTGCCCGGCACATGTCAGATCAATGATGACAAACCTTTTAGAGAGCCCAAACTGCAACCCAAAACCCATTTACTTATCACAATGTGCCTGCATTGCAATTAGACCTGAATACTGAGGTTTTAGTTAAGGAAAAAAAAAACCCCAAGTCTTACATTTAATATCTTTTGTTTTAAAGAAAAATAACTCATGTACCATAGGTTTGCCACCACTGCATTTGATGCTTTAAAAAATGCCTTGTAAACTAAACTGCTCTGAGTGGTAGACTCAAAGAAAAGTTACTCTTTGGAGATGAATGCCAATTAAATCTTGGGCTGAGAAGAAGAATACAGGGAAGAGTCTCTCTGAGTCACAGTTTGGCTGCCTTCCATCCTTGCTAGACATAATCCTTTTAGAGAAAAGACAATAGTTAAACTGAAGCATGGATATAGCATGGGAAGTGTCATCACTAGATTCTAAGGAAAGGAATAGGAGCAAAGACTAGGAGAATTGGTGGATCTAAATCAAACTAAGCTAAACTAAACCAAACTAGAAACTGAAGCTCTTATTTGTTGATCCAGCGGAAGGAGTCGTCTAAGAAAAAGATACACAAAGTCTGAGAGCTGGTAGCAAAAACAGTAAGTTCTAGGTGTTTTTAGACCTGAATTGAAATATAACTTTTGAAGTTACCACAGAAAGAGATGAGATCAAAGTCAGGTAATTTCTAAGCATGCATTACAAAGATACTTGTCCAATTCACAATGGCTTTGGTATATGGTTAATAGTACTTCCAAACCTACTTGAGCCTAAGGTTTTCCTAATGTTTGCATGACAATAAGCATATTAGGAGAAAGATTTTTTATTTATCTATATCTATTATAGTATAATGTTTTAGATTTTAAAATATACATGGTTCAGAGGTAAAAATACAACATTATATAGATTAGCAGTGCTGAAAGTATAACTCAATGATAGAGCACTTGTCTAACTTGTATAAAGCCCTGGGTTCCATTCCCAGCCCAGAAGGAAAAACAAAAAGAAAGAAAAAGTTCTGATCTTCTCTTCCTCAGATCCACTTCATTCTCCTCCTCTAATTGACCATTTTCATATTTTATCTGCATTCTTCCAGTGTTTTTATGTGTACATATGTGATGAAATGTTTAAGTACTAGCAACTTTCTTACTCTGTCTGTACTTTTTTTCCTGTTTTTAAGATACCCTGGCAAATTATTTGTTTCTGTAATTCCAGAGCAGAAAGAAAATGTTTAAACTAAGGAGACTACTAGCATGACAACTCTGATGAATGGTCTGCAACATTCCTGAACTAAATTTCTTCTGCTATAGTTATTGTTTGAGAATTCATTTGCTTCAATTTTCCACATGAGTAAAAACACTATTATGGTGGACTTACATCAGAATTTAAATTTTGCTTCATAAATGAATATAAATTATGGCAAATATCTATTTTCTTCAAAATAAACCCAGAGTATAAATAAAACTATCTTGGCCATAATTTTGTAATTCATGGAGCTATATGACGGTTACACTGTGATTCACTATATTACTCTAGCTACTTTTTATTTTTATTATTACAAAGTTTATTGCTACATTTTATTTTTTTTTTTTTTTTTTTTTTTTTTTTTTGTTTTGTTTTTTTTTTTTTTTTTTTTTTTTTTTTTATTTAAGAGGAAAAA